TACACACAAAATACCTATGCAGCCTTTCCTTTCATAGCATGCCCAAGTGGCAGGGGCTTGGTCTAAATTTCAGAATTAGAAGTACACTATGCCCAAATCTGTCTGCTCCCAAAGTAATCCTAGCAAGAATGGAGTACCTCCTTCCCTCTTGGAGAGTTTCCCCTTAAGAATGTTAGGGTAGAGAAGGGGGTGTTATCCTTAGCTATGGGCTTACCTCTGTTAGCCCACCTTAATTCATCTGAGAAACTCAAATAATACTGAATTTCAAAAGAGAAAACATTGAGCATTATGCTTTTCCTTGTGAAGTTCTTTGAACCTTATACACATCTTCCCTCTCTCTGAGCTTTCCAATGGTTTATAGGAATGAGATGTCTTGATCAAGCAGGGAATGTCCCATTGTAGCCTAACCCTGGAGTAGTAAATTCTACATATCTTGTATTGGTATAAATAAATGAGACAGTTGAAATATTCACCCTGAGCAATTTAATGTCTTTGTCACCTGAAATGGAACTGATTGGCAATTGCTGACATAGGTTCTCTCCTTAAAATCTTTATAGACTTGCATTTTTACAACATTTTCTTCTTACATCTAGGAAGGAATACTATCTTAACTGCAAATCTGTGACTCATCTCTCATTCACTTGTTCTCTTGCACAAGAATACATGACAGCACAAGCTCTAAGCCTTTTCAGAATGTTTGCTTCTTCACTCGGTGTTCAATGATAACATCACAATGAGGATTCAATGTTAGTGGATGAATACGAAGTCCTGCATGTAAAGTGGGTCCAGGAAGTAATAAAGATGTCTTGTGTCATAACTAGGAAATGAACTGGAAAGTGGTTCAGAAGTCAATGTGAAATAAGTAGAGGCTCCATAATGTGGTAGAAAGAACCCTGATTGCCACCTCAAGAGGTTTAGGCCTGGTTGTGATACTGATAGTTGACTTCAGATCCCTCATTCCTTATGTCTAAGGGAAGATAGTTGAATTAAGTGATAACCAATAACCCCACAGGCTCTAATATTTAAAAAAAAATAAATAAGCTTCACCAAGACAAAGGAACTGACAGTTGGGTGTACAGGAAGTGTCAGGACATTGATGTCCATCCAGAGTCATCCAGGAACACACCAGTAGTTTAACAAGTCAGATTGATTCAATATGACAAAACACATTGTAGGGATCTATGGGATCACCCAGTAAAAATGTGTTAGAGGGCTGAGGGTATTATTCAGTGGTAGAGTGCTTGCCTAGCATATGTGGGGTCCTGGGTTTCATCCTCAGCATTGTAAAAATAAAAGGGTAGTGCTGGAAAGGATTTACAGAATTTGGGATTGAATTAGGTGATTTGAGGGGAGTATTTAAGGAAGCAGGGATAATTCCATGATTGGGTATCTTATAAAATTTTATCTTTAAATGAGGAAGACTATTACTGGCAGCCAAGCCAAGGGAACCTGTCTGGATCCCAGCTGGCTGGATTTGGCCACCTGCCTGCAATAAGAAATTAGCAAATTATGGAGAAAAGGAATCTTACTCAGTTTGATCAAACTGTGAAGAAGCAGCTAGATTGCTTCTCCACAGGTCCTTCAGAAACCATTACGATTTATAGAAACAAAAGCCTTGTGATATACATATATAGATTTAGCCAGGCTGTGCTAGTCAGAGAACCTGTCACCCCAACACGGGCCAGTGGTAGGTTTTTTTTTTTTTTTTTTTTTTTTCATTCTCATCAGAAGGAAGTTTGGGAGTTTCAAGACTAGCAAGACTAATGCTGTAATTGGTAAAGAAGCACAGTCATTTATAGTACTCAGATTAAGGGGTGTTTGCTTGTTCTGTGGCTGCACAGTGTCTTGTTTTTCTCTGTATTCAGAAATGATTACAGAGCGGTCTTGTTTTTGTCTCCATTCGTCACTGTCATAGGGTGGCCTCACCTGATACTAAAGTTCTACGAAGTGGTTTTTGTCCAACAGGAAAACACCAGGGACCTCACTTCCAGCAACCTGAAGGCCTAGCAGATAGTAATAGTAATGGGCTAGATCCCAGGTGGGAAAGGCAGCTTTTCTCTTTCTCACAAGTAAGCTAGCAACAAGTAATTTGTGATTTTTATATTTGAATATTTTGTTATGTGAACAGATACAAAATAAATGTCTCCTTTTCCAAAAGTTAGAGCGAAGTATACTTAATTCTCAACTCTACTCCAGAATATATTTAAGATGGACTCAACTTGTTAAGTATTGAGAAAACTAGAAGAATTAGAATTTTACACTTCTCAAGCCTTTCTGCACTAGTGATTTATTTCATGTTTTCTCAGTTAATTTCTCATCAGAAATTGGGAAGAAAACTATTAATAAGGTGATCCCTATAAAGGAAAACATGGTATTATAAAATTATATGATTTATATTATTACGTAATTAAAATTGACTCAGATTGTTTGTTTGACAAAGCAATCCTATTTCTGGAAAGATATCTAATAGCTTTATCTGTACTTGTATGAAATGAGGTGCATACAAAGTTAATTCATCATAGCATATTTATTGTAGCACAATCTTGGAAACAACCCAACTATTCAACTATAGAGAAAGGCTACATAAAGTACATTAAATTCACTTGGCAAAATACTATATAAGTATAAAAAGAAAGAATGAGGAAGCTGTCAGTATATTGATGTGGAGAGATAACTAGCATGTGATGTCAACTGAAAAAATAAGATAGAAAATACTAAAAACAAAGTGAAGACAAAAATTTATTCATATCTACATATATAACACTACAAATACACATAATAAGTGAATAAAGTAGTCACCTTTATTTGTGATGTAGACAGGAATGTGAGAAGGAAGCTTCTCATTGAATGCCTTGTTAAATATATATTAAAATTGAATCATATATATACTGCCTATTGCAAAAATTAAAATAATTTAAAGATATATATGATAGAGAATATGTCTTTTTCCTACCACATTCCAACTTCTAGCAGTTAACATTTTAAGTAATTGGTTCATGTGATTGTGGGGTTGACAAGGTGGAAATTTTGAGGCCAGGCCTGGAGGCTGGATCCCCTGGGAATAGCTGATGCTACAGTCTCATGTCTAAAGAAAATCTAGAGGAAAAATTCTAGTAATCTGCTTTATTATAGTCTAGTGATTAAATGTTACTTATATCTCTAAATTTATCTTCATAGCAACATGGAGGCTAGTATTTGACCAAAAATTGGATACCATTATCTAGCCAAAGTGAATCATAACAATCATATGCCTGCTCAATCATAACATGTATCAATATCCATATTTATTTTTATTAGAAATGTGAGCATAACACTGATAACACATCTAGTCTTGGGGAATAACTTTCCATGTTTAGATGGAGAACTCTGAAAGGAAATACCCCTTTAAAATATGTGAAAATTTGTAATTCCAAACCATGGAAAAAAAGACATAATTCCTCTAAAAACAGAAGCAACTGCTTAGGAAACACTTTGGGTAGTGGTTAATGTCTACTTTACATAAAGCTTTCATAAATTGAAAAGAAAAATATTGACACCACAAATCACAAGGAGTCAATTCACAAAAGAATGACTCCAATTAGGAAGAAAACACTAAGAATTGTTTAACCTCAAAAGAAATCCAAAGTGAGTTGATCAAACTTAAATAAGTGAACTCCTTTAAATGAAAAGGTCCAGCAAGGTTTTTATGAAACTTAGATACAAGCTACCGCTCTCACATTGAGTAAACAAGTCTTTTATTCAAAATTGATTTGGCAATATCAGTAGCGAGCTATAAAATCATGCCCTTTGGCCAACAGTAATCCCTTTTCTGGGAACTAATCTTGAGGAAATGATTCAAAAGATGGTAAAAGGTATAGCCTGCAGATATTCATTGAAACACATTCATTCAATCAAATAAATCTACAAGCTAAATATCCTAACAACAGAAATGCAGGCTAAATGTGGTTTATTGATTTCATGAAATGTAGCTGTTAAAGAGGAAGACAGCAATGAGGTAAAATGAATATGATATAATGTTACATATAGCAGTTACACCTTGTCTCTGGTTACAATAAGAATTGTGTGTTAGCTGTGTTTACTTGTGGACAAGAACAGAGAGGAACATGGAAACCTAAAACCAGTTTTATCTCTTGGGATATGAGATTTGGGGGTGACACTTGTTTTTACTTTAGTCCTATTAGTAGTATGATAATACTTTGACATGATTATAAGCTCCTTAAAATTAATCCTAAAGTAGCATTATCCCAAACAATACCCTCAAGTTGGAATTATTTTGTGATCACAGACTTGAAGAATTCTGTGATGCTGTTGTCCTCTCCCCTGCTGTGATAGACATAGGTACCCAGGCACTGAAACCGAAAACCCCCAGTCTCTGCTCAGAAACAGCCATCTGTCTGTTGATTAAGCCTGGAGAGATGCTTTAGAACTCCATATTCTAAACATGTAAGAGACCAGAGAAAGCAGAAGCAAAGTACATTTCTATGCTAATATAACTGGGTCTCTAATTCTGAAATGATAACTAGTGTCATTCCCAACACTTTCTAGTTATAAGAGATGTTTTTTTAAAATTATAATAGTACATGAAGGCCCACAGGAATATTGTTTATCTTTGTTCCCAACTAAGGTTTTAGATCAACATTTTTTCTCAATGAATACAAGTATCCAATGAAATGAAAACTCAATGAGGAAGAAATATTTGGTGTAAATATCATGTTTTTCTTTTTTTTCAGTTTTATATCCCATCTCTTGATCTTTCCCATAGATGAAAAAGACAGGTTTAATAGTTCTCAGTGCTTGTGGACTTTTGCTTTCATTTCTTGGTTCTTATTTTCCAAGTTTAGAAGCCACTTGTAGAGATAATCTCAACAGCAGGAAATTTCCCAATTAGCAAAACAGAATTGCCTAGCAGATAAATGATAGTTTTATGTACCCAAGTCCCTACTAGTACCTGCTAGAAAAGCAGACCTGGTGTTAACCTGTATCACAAACATGTTTTACAGGGTGGATCATTTGTACACATTCTTTGTTCAGTGGTCTCCTGATGTCTATGGGAAAGATGCCAAAGAGCAAGGCTTTGTGGTGGTGGAAAAGGAAGAACTGAATATGATCGACAACTTCTTCAGTGAGCCAACAACCAAGAGCTGGGAGGTGAGCATGTGGGAAGGGACTAGGCTATCGTGGTCCCTAAAATGCAGGACACAGTCAAAATGGCCTTCCATTGGGATTCTAATAACTGGCTAGCAAGAAGGTAGAGCTCCTGCAATCTGGAGAAGTAAGCAATAGTTAGGCCTTTTCCAAGCTCCCATCACCCTCGCCAATGCTTGTGACAGTGGAAAAGAAAAGATAGCTAGAAAGAAGGAACTGGATTAGTCCGGCTACTTATCTCTACTTTCTTTCCATGTTGAAGACAAAAGTCCAAAATTACTATGAGGAAAATACTGGCCAGGATTCCCCTGCCCAATGCAGATGCAAGTTCTACCCACTGGCATTACCTGGAATCAATCAGTCTTCTTCCACCTTTATGGGTGGAGAAGGAAAATCCTGGCTTCCCTAGAAGCTATCAGGTATTGATTCTCAGCACGTCCAAGGTAAAAGTCATTCTTCTCTAAAACTTGTTTCCTCTCATGTATTTCCATTTTAGTTAGCAATGCCAGAGTCTGAAGTCTAAATATACCACATTCATCTCCTTCATCATCATACCTAGTCTAGTCACCTCTAGTTGGAATCTTGTTGATTCTTACCTTAAGTGGTGTGGGACCTCTTTTCCCCTCCATCACCACTCCCTAGGCAGGTTCCCCTGACTCTAGTCTGGATTTCTGCACCTTCATTTGAACTTGGAACAGCACTGCAGTCCCAATCTGCCCATCAGTCCATCCCCCTATACTAAAGATCTTAAAACAAGCTTTATCTCTCCATTCTATAAAGCAAGGCCTGCTTATTGGAGGAAAATTAGAACTTTAGGAAAATATACTGTCGAAAATTTTAAAATAATATCTAACAACATTAGGCACTTTTATATGTTTCCTTTGATTTTTTTTTTCCTATTTTGCTCTCACCATTTTTCTAGATGTGGCAAGGAATGAGTCATGTTTTTGTTTTTGTTGTTGTTGTTTTTGCAAGATGAATTGTGCTTTATATACTGCTAAGGGTCTGGATTTTCTCACCTGACATTGTAAGAATTGTAGTAGTAAAGACTTTTAAGAGCTTCAATTTTAAGGGTTACATAGTATTTTGGGACTCTGTTATAGTTTATTTAACAATTCCCCACTTGAAAACTTATATTGGTTCAAACTTCATAAGGATATGATGATCTGCAATCCTTTTTATTCCTTAGTTGCCTAGAATTAGAAGGTATAAAGGCACTAATTTTTTAACACTCCTGATTTTTAATATAATACTTGCTTAATTGCCAACAAAGTAAGAGATAAACTCCTCACTGTGCTTTTGCTATTATTGCTATTATTCTTTCTGAAAATTTTTGCTACTTTGGAAATGATATAATTTAATATTTATTTTCTTGATTACTAAAGATAGAATGAATTTGAATGTATATTAGCCATTTGGTTTTTTTCTTCTTTGTGATGTCCTCTTATTCTCCCATTTTCCTAAAGGAGTCTTAACAGTTCCATCTTTTTGAACTCTTTATGATTAAGAATTTAAATTCGGGCTGGAACTATAACTCAGTGGCAAAGTACCTGAAGGACTGCAATAGAAAACAAAACCCCTTTAGGATGTTATTATACTTGTTATCAAGCATGAATGTTTATCCTTATAGTGATATGAAATAATAATAAATAAATAAATATATTATTTATTTATTATTATTTCATATCACAATATATATGTGTGTGTGTGTATATATATATATAATTTAAAAATTAACTGTAGATTGAGGTGAAGAATTTAAATGTATGGTAAATGATATTCTTTTTTTTTAAATGATACTCTTAATAGCCATTTTCCCAGCAGTATTTAATGATTTCTGTTGTTTTCTCCATCATATTGAAAGGTCTTTTTTTGTTCTGAAAGGTCTTTTATATATATATATATATATATATATATATATATATATATATATATATGTGTGTGTGTGTGTGTGTGTGTGTGTGTGTATGTGTGTGTGTGTATGTGTGTGCACATTTTTATATGCCTGCTACCTATTTAACTTCTTATTTAAACACAAAGCACAGCCAGGCACAGTGATACATGCCTGTAATCCCAGCGGCTTGGGAGGCCAATGCAGGAGGATAGCAAGTTCAATGCCAGACTCAGCAATTTAGCAAGGCCCTAAGCAATTTAGGGAGACCCTGTCTCAAAATAAAAAGGGCGGGGTGGGGCTGGGGCTGTAGCTCAGTGGCAGAGTACCTGCCTAGCAGGCACTGGGTTCGATCCTCAGCACCACAAAAAAATGAACAAATAAAATAAAGGCATGCTGTCTGTCTACAACTACCAAAAAAATTAAAACAAAAAGGGTTGGTGATGTGACTCAGTGGTTTAGCACCCCTGTGTTCAATCCCTGGTACCCAAAAAATAAATAAATATACAAGCATGCTCCTATATTGCCATGCTTAAAGCTTTCAGTAATTAATTCCCCATTGCATAGAGCAATTGTTACCCACCTGGCAGATCCTTAGAATAACACCTGGGGATTTTTTTTTTTTTTTTTTAATTAAATCCTAGACCCTTCCTAGATGGTTTCGAAGAATAGCTTAGTTTTAGAAATGCTAACCTATAGGATCAGTGCTAAGCCCTTCATGGCTTCAGGGTTCTTCGTTTTTTTCTGCTCTTACTCTTTCACCAGACCTCATCCACCTCCTTTATCTCTGCTTCCCTTGCTCTCTAGTCTCCAGCCACAGTGAACCCAGAAACCATCTCTGTATTTTCCCTGTACCCTCCACCTGGCACATCTCCCCGTACCCTACTGTCTACTCACAAACCAAAGTACCATCTCCTTTGTGAACTAAGGCATCTCAGAACACCCAAGTGACCCCCACTTCCTTTGAGTTTCTATAGCTTTTAGCATACGTATCATGTGGATTTATTTATTCATTAATTTACACTTGTCTCTCAACTATCTCCTCATTCACAAGAGCCTATGGACTGCAGTGTGTCCCTATGCCTGGCAAAGCACCTTTTATGGTGAACGCCACACAGAAAGCACTTCACAAATGTCAGCTGTCATAAAGTGCCAGGGACTGAAGAAAGTGCTGTCATGTTGACAACGAATCTGAGTGATTCTGCCCCAGTTTGTGTTTCAACTCCTACCTCGAGGGTCAGTTCTGGCTGACCTGGGCCTGGGTATTGACCTGCCAAACTCCATTTTATAACCGGCCCCGGGATGGCCGTGCAATGGCACCCTGATCCCCATAGTAGTCCACAAGACTGAAAGGCCACTGAGATCTGGCAGGGTTGATACCACCGGTTATCAGTGACCAGTTCTGATCCCTCACCTGTTGAAGTTTGAACATTAGAGAAGCACTCCGAAGCAAGCATATAAAGCAGGATTTATTTTAAAAAGGGTGTCATAGACTTCTCCTGGGAGGGAGAAGGGGGCTATAGCTTGTATCCTGGTATCCCAAGAAGTGAGGTGTTCTGCCTTTTAATACTTTAGGCTTCCTTTGTTCTCCTGCCCTCTTCCCCTTATCTTTCTCCTTCCTGCATGTGTGACTAGGCCCAGGAAATGCTTAGTGGGATGGCCAAAAGTTGGGAACCAGGTGGACTGAAGGGGAAAGGGCAGGATGGAGCACATTAGTTAACAACTTTATAGCTCTGTGTAGGGGGGGGACAATTCCTGGGACAGGCTACCTTGCAACAGGTTGGAGCAGGAGCGGGTTATCTTGATAAGGTAGAGGAAGGAAGGGCTCTGAAGGCATTTCAATCCCTCAGGGGGCAGTTTCCAACTTCCCGGACTCCCCCAAATTGGCCTCCTCTGACCTGATTTGATTTACCTATACTGACTGCCTATCTAATTCTGGCTTCAGTGTCACTGAAAATTGATCCAAGGGTGCTTTACATTTCTTTCCAAGTCCTTGCTATCTGATTTTTAGAGGAGGACTCATTATGGTTTTTGTTTATGAAGACTAATTCTTAAATATAGAAAGATAAATATTACTTTGCCAGTAGTTTTATAAATCTGAATTTAATTTGACCTCTTTCACAGCCTCATATAAACCAGATGTCCTCCCGTTCTTTTAAATCCCTCATACCCCATGAACATGACTTGGGATTAAAATTGTTCTAACTGTAATAAACCGACCTCATTTGAAGGCTCCCTTTTGGCCTTCCTTTGAGATTAAAACTGATGCCCGGGAACAGATGTACCATTTAAAATCAGAGGTTGAACCTAAAAGAAGGGGCAGAAAGAAAACTCTGAAAAGTCAGGGTGAGAAAAGCAAAGTTAGCCAGAGGACAATTAAGCAAAAAAGGACAAGATGAAGGAAGAAAAAAAAAAACCACTCTCAAACAATAGGGTTTTATTGCACTGTTAGGAAACCACCATTTCAAAGGTGAAAGTGTCATTTTACAGTCTCACACGCTCTGCCTGGCAGGAAGTCTGTTCTCTGTAAATCCTAATTTGGGCGTGTTCCTGTAGAAATGTTGAACCTCCTCCTAAGGGAAACAGAAACTTAATCAGGAAGCTAGATACTAAAAAACAGTTGTAGCTCAGCGTGCCTGCCAGTGTCTGGTGTGGAAGCAGAGAGCAAAAACCTGTTCCTCCTTAGACGGGCTACACTTCTCAACGGTCACAATGAGAGACCCACGATTGCCCTTGGACATTCAGATTTTCTATTGTGCCAAACCTGACCAGGAGCCTTTTGTGAAGGTAGGTTGGAGTGTGTCCTTGAGGGATAATAAGGTGCTGAATTCTCACTGATCTGCCACTCCAGTATGTTTTCACATTCGTTCTAAGGAGAGAGGATTATGCTAGCATTTCAACCAGAGCTGGTCAATTTATTTGTTGTGAATATGGATATACTGTGGTTGCCTCTTTCACTGTGAATCAGAAATCCATATTTGAGGGTTTTTTTTTTTCATTCTACAGCCTTATTTTGTAGCTATGATAAGTATAAGTTTCACCAAAAACATGCTGCTTTATTTAATACATTTAAAATGCTGGTTGTGCTTCTTTGGAAGTGTTCTCTCTACCTAGATTCTCTTCCAGAAGATGGTAAAATTTATAAGCTAATTTCCCTACCAGAAATCTGGCCCAGATGGCTGTGGGTACTTTGTATATGTCACTGTGTGGTTTGGAAATTGAGTAATGCATTATCTAACAACTTTCACTAGATGACATTTAAATGCTTTTTCTCTATAATACAAAAGTCATTAATGCTTGTAATTAGGCATTTGGATGAATTAGCTGTCTGATATAATTTAATTTTAAAAGAATTTAGTGTTTTATCCAGAATTTAAAAGGGACAAAAAAAATGTATTTTAAAGCAAGAAGGACTGTAGTATTTTATAAAGATGACTATAATTATACAATAAGTGTTGTATACAATATAATGTTTTTCAGTTTAGAAGGGAAAAATACTTTGGCCATTTCTGAACTGTATGTAATATTTGTAACCTGGTTGTAATTTAGAGCAAAGCTTCATGCTTCTCCTGTTGCTGTTCCTGGTAGCTGTTATTTCTATCTCGCTTGGTTGCTATGTGCACAACCTTGAGAGAAAACACCAAGAACCTTGATTAAAAACTGTCCTTATTGTTCCAAACTCCCTATTTATAGAAGACTTACTCACTGAGTGATCTCTGATTATTTCCTTGGCAATTTAAATTTAGATGCAGGCTAAAGAAGAATAATTTCGACCATTTTCAAGGGTGTAAATTGCTCGTGGAGTTATAAACAGCTCTCACGCAAGGAATGAGCAATCGGCAGCAATAGCAAAACTGGAAAATGGGTGATTTTAATTCATACATATGAAGTGCCTCAGCTGAACTAAGTTCTGCATTTGATCTAGAATCAAAAAATTAACCATTTCCCCAAATGCCTGTTTAACTTATGTCCTGCCACCCAAACTCTCCCTTTTCAGTCAGTCAGGTATCCAAGATAGCTTTGTTCTCAGTTGAGGAAAAGTCATCTTTGTCTTGGGTTGTTTTTTCCTTGCCTCAGATCATTACCGTTGAGGAGGCGAAGCGCAGGAAGAGCACGTGCAGCTACTATGAGGACGAAGAGGAGGAGGGGCTACCAATCCTGCAGCCTCAAAGTGCGCTGCTGGAGAACATGCACATAGAGCAGGTGGGTCTTCCCTGGGGACTTGGGATGAGGGTCTGCTAGGCCTTCAAAGATACTCCCCATCTCTGGCTGCATTTGCTCTTTTCACTCCTGCTGAGGGATGAGCCAGGGCTGAAGGGAGGAACGTGAAGTCCTAACCAAGGCCAGCCTGAGCTTCTCTGCTTCTGAAAAATTATAACAGTCTTTTCCACTGCCTTTCTGGGAGTATAAGCAACTGATCAGACATGAATACCCTTCTCTCATATCTAAAGGAAAAGTTACTTCTTATCTTACAAAGAAATATAAGTGTCCTACTAAGGTCCTAAAAGGATCCAAATTTATCCCAGCGATTATTGCAGAGTTCTAATGGCTATTATTTATAGGGCTCAATAAAATTAATATAGCAAGTATACTTTCTTGCTTTTATGAAAACACCTAACCCTAGAAAGAATTTTTCTTTTTCTGTCATTTTCTTTGCGATTTTGTTTTCTGAAAATCTGGTAATTGTATTTTATGAGATGTTATTATGTTCTTATATCTGAACTTTGGTAGGAAATCACTTGTAATTCTTTTGTCAGTTAGCTTAGAAACCTGAATTTCACAGAACTTAAAGAGTCATCAAGTTCAATTCCTCAGTTTACAAATGAGCCAGTGAAGGCCCAGGAAAATCAAGAGAATTTACCAAGGAGCTAAATATAGGTAGGGTTCATGATGACAGTGTCTGGAACTGATTTGAAACATTCTAAAGACAGCACGTCATCACTTCCTTTCGTGATATTTTCGAAGACATATACATCATTGGTATTTATGGCAGCTAAGTTTAAGCTAAATATTGATGTGGGTGAAAGGTGCAGGTACAAGGTGGACAGATAACCTCTGACATCTAACATAAGGCACCTGTGTTTTGTTGCTATCAGATCTGTGGGAAGCCATAATTGCCACGAGCTGTTCTGAGTCTGTGAAAGTTTAGAAAGAACCATTGGAAAAGTATGAACTATTTGTTAAAAGTCAGATTGTGATATAGAAAAAGAGTATGTGTCTAGTTCATACTTCCTTACCTGCCTTGATCAGTGTCTTCGAAAGTTTGTCCCATACCACATGACAAAGTTTCAGTCAATGACGAATTGCAGGTGTGACATGGTACCCTAAGATTATATCACCTAGTGAATGGCAGGCATCTTAGTTTGTGTAAGTACACTTGATGATACTCACATCACCACAAAATTGCCTAACAACACATTTCTCAGAACATATACCTATTATTAAACAGCATACCTCAGTAGCATAGGAACCTACAGTCAGGCACCAAGGGGAGAAGCATCCTCTGAGCAGCCTCCCTGCCAAAGTAAATGCTTTAAAGCAATGATTTTTTTCCATTCTCTTTCTTGGTTTATGGTAGCAAATATTTACTACCATAGACCAAGCAATGCATAAGTAAATATAAAACTTTGAGTTTGAACCACAGGCATACGGGTTTGCAAGTCATTTGCTGATTTGTGGTTGAATTGTCTGTTTGCATCTTCTTGTACTGGCAGCTGGCCCGACGCCTTCCAGCAAGGGTGCAAGGGTATCCGTGGAGACTGGCCTACAGTACCATAGAGCATGGAACCAGCTTGAAAACTCTCTATCGGAAATCAGCATCACTAGATAGTCCAGTCCTATTGGTCATCAAAGATATGGATAATCAGGTGAGTCCTGCTTCTCTCAGAGAGAACACTTTTTAGTGTCAATTTTCAAATCTACTCAACAGAAGAGAGATGAGTACAACGAGTTCTCCTCACCCACATTTCACAGTTAGCCTGATTTTGCCATGTGTGCTGCTTCTCTTTCTTTTATCTTTGTTTTTTCTTTCCCGAGGTATTTTGAAGTAAATTCCAATCATGATGTCATTGCACCCCTATGTACTTCATAATCATTTCTAAAAAGAAAATGGAACATATCTCTAAGTATAGTCACATTCTAAGGAATTTTTTTTTCCTATGCTGACCATGGAGTAGGAAAATATAATGGTATTCAATAACCTAAAGCTGAAAAGTTGAGAAAAGTCAGGTCTGGATTTGGGGACAATTTCAGAAATAAGTTCCAGTGCCACACCAGAGTTTTTTTTCAAGTGACTGAAGTAGCACCCACAAAACTTGCCTGCTGTGGCTGTGATGGGAGCTTGTCAAAGCCTCAGTGTGTCATGCCCAGGGGCCCAACTGTTAAAGAAGCATCAGGGAATCCTCTGTGCCATTCCTAATTGCATTGTCACCAGTTACAGCTGACCTTTCTAGGAGGCCCTGGTTAAATCTAAGTATTACCCCCCAACATCCACTCTTCAGTGTGCTCTTCCCTCAAATCAACTTGGAGTATGAGGCTTCCTTCATTTACTACCCGGTCAGTCTATTATGTCTTAAAAGAAAGACAAGTCGAGCCTGATCTTCATTTATTTCAGTTTGATCTGTGTGGTATTCAGGTGTTTTGCCACTTGTGACACAGCCTACTTCCTGCCCCATAATCCCCAGTGCAGATTGTTGGAAGCTTACTCTAGGCACACATGGCCAAAAAAGACAGGACTCCCTCTTCTCCCAGCCGTGGTGTATCCCCTCTATGTGTAGGTTCCCAGCACTTCTTATTCCCTACCTGAGATCTGTGTATCAGAGACTTAAATCCAGGCAAGTGTGGCCTAAAGGCAGGGAGAAGGCTCTCTTCCTCCATCCAGCCACTGCTCACAGGGCTGTTCGATGGCATGGCAGGCTGAATTTAGAGATTTCTGGTCCTGTTGTTTCGGCTCATAGGGCAGAAGTTGCACCATAGGCGAGGCAAGCCAAGACCACAGCCTACTGTCTCTGCCCAGCACCTTGCTCATAAAGCAGGATTATTCCTCTGAGAAAAGCAGGCTATTGTCTAGACTGAGCTCCAGAGCAGTCACTTGGAGATTTTTCACAGGGGAAGAGTCAGGCTATAAAATAGAGCTCTGAAGTTATCTCCAAGAAACTTATTTAAATAAGTATAGGGAAGTTCAAGTCCCACCCTAGAAAACAATGAAAAATTTGGTGGTAAACAATGAAAAGGAAGCTGGTAGTCCTGTGAAGGCAACAACCTGAACTAGACAGTCTGGTTTACTAGAGAGAACCTGGGATAAAAGACAGCTAAGGAGAATCTTCTTAGAATCAGGATAAACTCCATAGACTGGCCGAAGAAACTGCCCCTGCAAAGACACCTAAATGTAACAGAATTGGACTGTGGAGTAATTTATAGCACAAATCATTGTTGAAAACATGAAAACAATCGTCAGACAAATAACATGGCACCTGATTTATACTAACCTAATTTTACTGAGGTGTGGAAATGTCACTTCTTTGGTTCTCTGTTACACCTCTCCACTTACTGTAGTGCTGTTTGTTATACATTGATATAGTAGATCCAAACCCAAAAATAAATTGCTATGATTACTAATTTACATTTTATAGTTGAGAAAAAAAGAATAAATATACATTTATAGGTTTTGTTATATTAACCTTCATTTTATCATTTTTGATTGTCTTCATATATTTCTGTAGATGAGTTTATTCTGTTATTGCTAAAAATATTACATTTTTATATGACGTGACGTAGATCCAATAATACCATTATATACTTGTTTGATGGAGTTTCTTCCTAAATAAATGAACAGGAAAAAAGACAATAGACATTTCCTATATAGCCACAGTGCTATAGATCTAAAAAAAAAAAAAAAAAATCACAGTAATTTCCTAGTATTATCCAGTGGATAATAATATCCAAGTCCTTAAATGAATTTGCATGTTGGCTAAAAAAAAATTATAGTTAAGAAAGAATATAATTATTTAGAATCCTGCAGAGGTCAGAGAGTAAGGATATCTTTTTCTGTTGATTTGTCAGAAAGGAACCCATTTTCCACTTATGGCTATTGCCCATCTTATCATATTTTAGCACCATGTCTTTAAAAAGAGATACCTCGTGTTATTTTTTTTAGTACTGTTACTGAAAGATCTCTGAAGAAAGTGAAACAGAATTTTAATGTTTTTTTTTCTTTGTTTTTAACAGAAAAATGTAGTAATAGGAAGTATGAATAACATTGGTTAGAAAGTTTCTAGACTTTTGTTCTACCCAATATTTAGTATTTCAAGTGTAATTGGTAAAGAAGAGAGCATACTGTGGTTATGATCACATTAAAATAATTTTTTTAAATTTTTAAAGAAATTTTTCAGATAACCTTCATTTAAAGCAATGTTTCTACAAAGGGATTTGAAGCAGAAGGTATACATGAATCACCTAGAGACATTTTTTAAATAGATATGCTCACCACTGCCAGCCCCCATCCCTGCAAGTACTGAGGCTATGGCCATACATATTCTGAAAATGCTGTTCCTCATGTAACTTACCTATCCTTCCAGCCTCCCAGTATGAAAAAGCAGAAGAATCATTGATTTAAACACATCTAGTTCACCTTTAAAGCCCATAGAATTATGAAGTTACTTTTTCATTAAAAGTTATCTCAAATTAAGATATATTGATCATCATGTTTAGGTGGTAGTTTTATTAAGCATATCAATAAGCATATTAATTACTTGTTCTTACAAATCAAGGGGAAGAAAATTTATTTCTGCTGGGGAATGTCTGGCCATAATTCTACTTATAAAACACATGAGAGATGTGACCATTTTCTCCCAAGCAGGCATTTCTGTGTGCAAGACACATCATCATCTTGTTTAATGTTCCCAATATGTTGTAAAGGAAATTTGTCTCTGTAGTAGACTTTGGCAGTCTTTTAAGATTGAAGCAACTTGTGGGCCTTGGACAAACAAGTTCTCTGACTTCTCTGATGGCTCTTCCATACACCAGGAAGCCTGGCCACTTGGGTTCCAATCAAAAATGGGGACATTTGGTGGATTCTTTTGTTTGGTGGTCTTTTTTACTCAAGAGCTCCAATTTAGTAAAATCTTTGCTGGAAGAGGTATAATTACATCTTAAAACAAGATCATATAAAAATATATTTCAGAAAGCCTTTCTATGGGAGGCTTAGGTTTTAAAGTACACATTTGTTTTCTTTTGACAGATTTTTGGAGCATATGCAACTCATCCCTTCAAGTTCAGTGACCACTATTATGGCACAGGCGAAACTTTTCTCTACACATTTAGCCCTAATTTCAAGGTACCTGATGGGGGAAATGTTTGATTCCTTAGTAGTGGGAGTGGCAAGGACTGTCTTATGAACTTAAGAACTCACTTCAGCCTGGGTCAGCACTTCATGATTGTAGCACACAAACTGCTTAGGGTCCCTGGCCTTGGGAGTGTGGGAACCAGGGAGGGGATGCAGATTATACCAGCATGTAACTGAAAGGTCCTTCCTACTTTGTTACACTTTGGAGGTCTCCTTCTGTATGGGCCAGGTCTGATCATCAGGAGCCTTCTCCATCAAAGGGAGGTGGGTGGCTCCCTTCCACATAATAGTTCTATTTAAGATTCTGTGTTTGCTATTTCTCCTGAATAAAATGTCTATTCTCTATTTTGTTTTCTACCCCAAGGTCTTTAAGTGGAGTGGAGAAAACTCATATTTTATCAATGGAGACATAAGTTCTTTAGAACTTGGTGGTGGAGGGTAAGGTTTTCTTTGTCATTGTTTTACCACTTGACCTGTGAGAGTCTGTTTTGACCCAGTTAACCAAAACCTCAGTGTCAGCAGATTTTTTGCTAGTTCATGTGCTTTAATTAATTAGGATAGTGGACTAACACATGACACTATCCTAATTAATCAAAGATAAAAATCATTTGTTCATGTACCTAGTTGAGAAATGACTACCCCATGTCTTTTAGGAAAGACAGGTCATTTAAACAAAATGAAGGAATGAGGGCCTTTATTTTGCAAGCAATTTAGAGTTTTTACTGTCTGTGGCATAAAGGAAAGAAGAGGCAAGGGAGAACAGAAAATATGCCATGTAAGATCTAAGTGTATTTCCCTTTTTTTCCTTTAACTTGTTTTCAGGGGAAGATTTGGTTTATGGCTAGATGCTGATTTATACCATGGACGAAGCAACTCATGCAGCACCTTCAATAATGACATTCTTTCCAAAAAGGAAGACTTCATTGTGCAGGACCTAGAAGTGTGGACATTTGAGTGAAATTTGGACTGCCTTAAAATATAACATTAAAAAGACTGGGTTGGATCAGCCCTCCTAAAGCTGGCTGGAAAATGAAGCCCCAGCCCAGGCTGCCTCATCCCACAATGCTTTCTTTCTGCCATCATCTCAGAGCATGGTCAACTTTGCAAAAAGATCCTGAAAGGTACGTGTGGAGGGCAGACACTGAAGAAAGAAATTTGAAGTCCAGATTGTTCAAAGACTTTGTTCTTCCACTTCTTTCAAATCCATACAGTGAGGAATTGGAGTGTTTATATGAGTTGAATGCAATTTTTATTTTTGGTAACTGTGAAAAAAAAGATACTGTGGAAATATATCCATGCCTTGTGTATTTATCAGCATAAATTTTCATTGCAAAATGTACAGCTATTGTTTGTCATGGAAAAGGTTAGTCTCATTTAGAAAAATTGAAAGGACACAGCACTTAAAGGGAATATATATGATTTTTTTTAAAAAAACAGTTTTATTTATTATTTCTAGTGTATTGTCTAAAATATGTTGGCAGGTTTTTTTTTCTTTTAATATGTCAAATCTTGAAATAAATAAATGTATACATTTGTGCTATGTTTTGGGAACAAGTCTGTTTGATTTATATAATTTTATATTGATTTTTTTTTGCCCTGATTGTTTAGGGTGATAGGTCTTAAGCAGTATATATATTTCTAAATTTTTAAAAGCCCATTACCAATGTTTATTGATTTGACTATAGAAATAGTCAGGTTTTTTGTTTTTTGTTTTTTGTTTTGTTTTGTTTTGTTTTTTTGGTACCAGGGATTGAACTCAGGGGCACTTAACCACTGAGCGACATCCCCAACCCCCTTTTTTTTTTTTTTTCAAGACAGGGTCTTGCCAAGTTGCTGAGGTTGGCTTTGAACTAGCTATCCCCATGCCTCAGCCTCCTGAGTCACAGGGATTACAGGCATGTGCCACCCTAGGCCAGCTTTCTATTTGATGATTACAAAGGTACATTTTAAATTACCCGAACATATTCATGTAAAGCAGAATATACCATCTCTTGACATTTATAGAAATGGAAACCTTTATGAACCCAGACTTAAAACAAAACTTGCTTCTGAAAAAAATTATGTTTCTTATAAAACCATATGTGTTGATAACAAAAACTTTATTTTCATAGTGTTCTTTTGCACAATTTCTCCCCCAAACGTTTACATTAATGAGCAGGCCTCTATTTTAAAAGGGAGTGTTTTAATTTCTGCTTTTTAAAAAATCAGATGAAAAAAATGTCAAATTGGACCAATTGTCTTGGGTTTTAGACTCTTATTTGAGAAAAAATGCAAAGAAATGCATTTATACCAAAATTGGAATAAAAAAGAAAACCTATTTTTTAATGTGAACTCATTTTCACATCAAAGAACCTCTTTTATTAAAAATAATAATAAAGCCTTATAAAAAACTTATTAATTGCTAGACTTTTATGAAAACCAAAGACTACTAATGGAAAAAAATTAAATAATAGCCAAAGCTGAGAAGAGGTATGTCACAAATTATTTCCACAGTGATGTTTGAAAGGAAAAATTTATAACAAGCAGTATTTACATATTTGCATTAAAAAAAAAGCAGTTCTTAGAATATTTCTCTTATTTTAGTTCCCCATTTTAGGCTATTTGTAAGAGAACAAACTGTCCAATGGCCTCTTATCAGATCAACAATTATTGTGCTATGTTCTCATTCCATGCAAATTTAAAGGAATACTATAAAATTTTAAATCCATAGCCCAGGCATACTTTTTATCCAGTTTTCATACTGAGAATTCTTGATAAACATATTGGCGGTTTAATCTTAATCTGCTTATTAAAAATAAGTTGGTGTGAGATATTAGGAATGTCTCATGATGATCATGTTTACCATGTATGCCATTTGCAACCATATGCTATTAATAAACAAAATGCTCATTTTGCATATAGTTCACTCTTACCTAGTTTAGTCCATGATACTATACTTGTGAGAGCATATCCAAATGTTGTGTTCTCTATTTAAAACAGTATTGTCCAATCAGAAATGTGTGGCCCTTCATTTATGGATATTGACTATATGTAATGCAGTGCTATCCCAATATTTTCAATAAAGGAATTTATGCATTCAGTGTGATTTTCTTTCCTGAGGTTTCATTTACCTAGTATTTATTGGGTAAAGTCCTACCTCCAAGATATTGCAAGTATGCTTCCAGACAAGTGTAGTAAAGCAAGTCACAAGAATTTTTTTATTTCCCGGTGTATATAAGATTTATGATTTCAGAATTGTGTAGACTTTTAAGTGTGCAGTAGCAATATGTTTAAAACAATGTATATACTTAATTAAAAGTTCTTTATTGCTGAAAATACCAATGATTAACTGAGCTGTCTGGAAAATGGCACTGACAGACTTTGCTTGATGGAGGGTTGCCACAAACCTTCACTTTGTAAAAAGTGCAGTATCTGCAAAGTTGATGCATTGTACACAACTTGATGAAGCATGACTGTACTCAAGTTTTTCATATTGTGAGAGGTGATGAAATATCCAAGACTAAATAAGGTTCAGAGCTTATGTTTTCATTGCTGCCCTGGAAACTCCCTCTTAATTTCTGGTAGCCACCCTCCTTGTTCTCCCATCAGTTCATGGAAACTGCTCTTATTATAGGTACTAAAGACAATTCTGGGCTTCCTCTATCAAGTTTCTTCTCAGTTCTTAATCCTTTCAGCTATTCTGTGAATAATGACCTTCTTTTAACATCTGACTCAACCTGATTCCTAATTTCTATGAGAGTCACCTTACCCTCTGATAAATTTTCTGCCATCTAGCTCCTAAAGATGAAGACCCCAAGCAACTTGTTCATAAATCAATATCTAAGAACTGGGGTGGGAGGAGGCAACCAAAGGTTTCTTTAGAATCTGTTGGAAATTATTTAAATGCATCCCGATGTTACACACCACCAGGGACACCTGAACTTGTGACTACCACCCTTGATTTAAGTTCTCTTTCCTTGGTTCCTTTTAAAGTTTTAGAGACAAATGAAACAAGACTAACGAGAACTACACTCCTTCTGAGGAAGGCATTAGAATTTCTTAAAGCAAAAAAGAGTGCTAAGATTTTGATGTTCTTCTTAGGGTGTCTAATCTATTTTTACTGATTTAATCAGGCAGAGAAAGGTAAAGAGGTCAGAAGTCAAAGGAAGTTCCAGAAGCTTTAAAATAAGGGCAACCACACTTGCCCCTATGGAAGTTTAAGAAGTGTCTCTGACCACTTCTATCTGCCCAATCATGACAAGTTCTGCCTCATTCAGGGGAAACCTTAACCTCGGGGCATCACATCTCTGCTCTCACCTCCTTGCCTATACACTTTATCCAAAGTGACCCACTAACAGAAGGTGTGTTAGCTTAGAAAATTAGGCTTCACCAGTCACTCCAAACTCAAATGTCCTTATTCTCTTCTATCTCAAAATTTCTAGTGGTACATAGGGACTCCACAATCTGGTCCATCAATACATTAAAATGGGGTTTCTTGATAGAATATCTTTGGGACTTTTGTCTTTCTTTTGGATTAGCACTGCCCAGTAGAACATCCAATGACAGAAATGTTCCACAGATTTTCACTATAGACATTTTATTATAGACACTAGGTACCATACTTACGTTGAACACTTGAAATGTGCCTTGTGTGGCTGAAGGGCTGAGTTTTCTATTTTTTTAAATTTAAATTTATTTAAATTTAAATAGCTGCCTATGTATTGAACAACACAGCCTTTTTTTTTTTTTTTTGATCAAACCCCAAGGCTTAGTACATGTTAGGCAAGTACTCTACTATTGAGCCCCAACTCTTAGCACAGCTCTAGATCAGCTGTTATTGCCAGTTCTTATTTCATGAGACAACAAATCCCTCACCAAAAGAGAACTTTAGTTCCAAACACTTGGATTTAGTTCCATTACAGATCTTCATGTAGCTTGGTCCCACCTAAGGTATTAATATGTCTCTTACTATTTAGGAGCTCCATTTGTAAAGAAATCAGGGAGCTGAGTACTCTGGGAGTCTTTCCATATTGCAAGATTGAATCTTCATAAGACCTTTGGTCCCCATCTCTAATCTCTAGAAAATTTATCCTAGTGCCAGACCTTGTTTCATGTAAAGTCTTCCTGGTGTGGCCATCACACATGTTCTGTGCCTATTTAGGACATTCCACTGCTCAAGGCACTCACCACAATGCATGCATGATGGAGCACAAGAAAGAAAAACAGTGCTTACAGTATTTTTCAGTTGATCTCAAAGTGATGGAACTACTGAGAATGCCTCTCACAGGGCCATTTAGTGACCAATTGTCCTTACCAAGTGTGCCAGCTGGTATGCCGACTGGCCACATGTACACTTAGAGAACTTGTGTGTACATGTAGAAAGGTTTTTATATCAACCTGTTAGAATGAAGGGTAATCTAGAACCATAGAAGAGAGACTATTAGATAGCCTCAGTTGTGTCTTATTTACCCATTGACCAGGGCCCACATTTGATCGAGCCCTTCTCACTTCTAGGGTTACAAAAGGCAACCCTGCTCTAGTTTAACATAATCCAGAGGAAAACAAGAAACGCCTTCAAGATACACATTCACTTTCAACAAGCTTTGATGATATAATTGTCGGCTTCCCATTTTCCAACAAATACCTGTGATAACCAACTTAGAAAAAAATTTATTTTGGCTCACAGTTTTGGAGGTTTCCACTCATGATTAAGTGACCCTGTAGCTTTGGCAACTATGGTGAGGCAGTATACCAGAGAAGAGAATGTGTAGCACAGGAATCCCATTCACCTCAAGGCCCAGAACAAAAGAGAAAGAGGGAGAGTCCATAGTTTCAAAGTCCCCTACAAGGGCCTACATTCAATGATGTACAACTTTCTGTTAGGGCCCACGTCTTAATGTTTCTACCACCTCTCAGTAGCACCAAGTTGAGAACTAAGCCTTTAATACGTGGGCCTTTGGGGAGCCTTTCTAGATTCAAACTATAGCTGATGATAAGGCAGTTCTAATTGTGACTTTTCAGAAAAAAAAAAAAAAAAAAAAAACCTTAAATATTTATTTATTTATTGAAGTACCAGGGGGTGATCCCAGGGATGCTGGACTAGTAAGCCACAATCCAGCCATTTTTAATTTTATATTGAGTCAGGGTTTACGTTGCTTAGGGCCTCACTAAATTGATGAGGCTGGCTTTGAACTTGTAATCCTCCTGCCTCACCCTCCTGATTTGCTGGGATTATAGGCATGCACTACTATGCCTGGTTCATTCTGTAGACATTGGAATTCACCCAATCAGTTTGGGCTTCAATCTCCATGGTAGTGCTTGGCACCTAACTCTTCCATGTCTGATGGATCTCAACTGAGATAAACCCTTTCATCTTTGAAAACTAAATTTTAAAAAATAATAACATTTCTACAAAGATATGTTATATTGACCTTGAGAGCTATTAAAAGGTCTCATTATTACTCCATACCTAACAAGGCCCAGTATTATTCCTTATAGCATCTTGTTCTCTATTAGATTCTATAAAGGATTAGAAAAGTAAATAGGTTTGACCTGGAAGTATGCCAGAGAATTGTGGATATATGACATGGGTCTCTTTTGGCAGATCCTATAGTTAGATCATACAGATAAAGCTAAAAAAATTCTAAAGACTTCAAGAGGCAGCAAAGCATAGCAGTTAAGGTATGGATTCTCTATATAGCCAGATGTCCTAGGTTTGAATGTGAGCTCTAGATCTTACTAGCTAGTAGCTAGCTTACTAGCTTTGTTATTTAACCTCCCTGTGCTTCATTTTCCTTATCTGTAATATAATAATAATAAGCACTCCATGATTGTATGATGATTAAAGCACTTAAATAGTATAATGTCACCACTACTAGGTTTTAAATTTACAAATTATTCAATTACTCTTTCTAATGGAGGGATCACCTAATGATATGACAATTACAAAGGAGACTTCATCTTCTAAGATAGCAACTTATTTAATGCTGAAAACTATTTTCAGATATATTGCAATTGCTCTCGTTTGCTCTTTAGATATTTTAACTAAGGCTTTGTCTCATCTTTTTTTCTTATAAAAATAACACATGTTCACGGAAATATTTTCAAATAGCATAGAAGAGAATTCAGTAAAAGGCAAATGTTTCCCTCCCTATGTTCTCAGAGGTAATAATCACAAAAGTCTTTATGTTCCTTTCTTGAGAATTTCTGTGCATAAATAAGCTGATATATATGTTCTTCATATAAACAGAAGCATACTACACACACTGTTCTCCAGTTTGCCTTTTTAATTTAATAAAATACTGTCAACATTTTTTATCAGTATATGTAGACTTCATTCTTCATTGCATTAGTCTATCATGGTTTAAATAGTCCTTCATTAATGGACTTTTTTGTTGTTATTGGCTATTACAATATTTCTTAGTGAATATCCTCATCCAGAGCTTTGTCCATTAATATGCTATATATTTGTAGGATAATTGTGATCACTGAGTCAAAGAATGTATGCACTTTTTATTTTAAAAGATATTGTCAATTGTTCCTCCTCAAAAAAACTATAGCCCAGAGCTATGAGCAAGGTAAGCAGTTATCTCACTGTATGAGTAAGGTAAGCAGTTATCTCACAGCCTCAACAATACTAATTATGTCAATCTTTTTATTCTTTGCTCAAATGGTAACTTGTTTTAATTTTCATTCTTTAGTCATGAATTAGGTTGAACCTATTCCCGTACGTACTACATATGAATATGCCTTTTTAAAAAATTGACTATCAATGTCCTTAATCCAATTTTCTACTGAGCTGTTCATCATCATTTTACTGATTTATAACTGCTCTTCTTATGGTCACAGGTAGCCCTTTGTCATTTATATTGCAAAGATTTTTCTCAACTTATATTTTTAAAATACATGGTTTTTTTTCACACATGAAGAGGTTTTTTTTAAAAAAAAAAAAAAAATATATATATATATATATATATATATATATATTATTACCATTTCTTCATAGTCAGATTTATCAACCACTTCCTTTATAACTTCTGGGCTATAATTTTTTAGATCAAGTTAAATTTATTTAGCATTATTTTTATTTCTCACTTAAATA